CTTTAATAGTTGAGCCCCCTCCTGTAGTTTAAACATATCTAACAGGAAATTACACGTTTTCTGCTGTCCAACTCATTTATCTTTGGTTAAAAGCCATAATAAGCTAAATGATAAAGTCCAGTGCTGCTTTACTCAGATCAGCTTTGGCTCATGGACTTCCTCTTTTAAAACATGTTTGATTTATGTTTTTCAAGCCATTTACTCTTTCACTTATTCCAACTTTAATATTCCATTTTTATTCTATAAAACAACGCTTTTTGTTGTTTCAAAAGCGTGGCAGAATCAAACCTAAATCCGAAATACTTTACTCGGAAATACTTTAATAATCCCAGAGGGAAATATAATAAAACACTGATAATAACACTTCTGGTAGTAATACCTTCTGTTAATGAAGGGAATAAGACTTTCCACCTTTTTAGATTTAATTAGACCCATCAGGGGAGAATAGAAAGGCTGAACGGGGCTTTATTCTTCTTCTTCATGGACTCATTTATCTTCGGTTAAAAGCCTTAATAATAAGCTAAATGATAAAGTCCAGTGCTGCTTTACTCCTGGACGTCCTCTCTAAAAACTGGACTTTTATTTGGCCCGGATGGATGGTTTTGACTCAGAGTGATTTAGTCCCAATCTGCTTTTTCTCTGGACGTTTGGGACCAAAATTGGGACTCACGACTCTTCCTGGAGTCTCTGTAAAAGCAGATGTTGGCCACATCTGGCCCGTAAAACAGACAATAAAACCAGAACCTTAAGAAGGAATAATAGGTCCCGTTTTAAGAGATAAAGTCACCAAAGTGGACCTATTATCCATATTATCTAATGTTTCTCTGAGCAGCTATCCTCAGTCCATCCATCTATTTATTTATTTATTTATTTTTCTATTTATTTATTTATTTATTTATTAATTAATTCATTCATTGATTCATTCATTTATTTATTTATTTATTTATTTATTTATTTATTTATTTATCTATTTATTTAGCTGTTCAAAAATAGAAACTTTATTGAGATCAACTCTCTGTAATGTTGTGCCTCATATTAAGGCGCTCATCCATAAGTTTAATATGATTATATCTGTTATATCACGTTTTATTTATGAGGTATGGAAGTCCTTTGTGACTTAAAATACATTAAAATAAGCTCTTTTTGAAAATAAACATGTTGTTAGATGTTATACAGACTTATGTGCTGATAAGACTAATTCTAAGGAAAAAAACGCACCCGGACGCTTCAAAAGTGTTTTCCCGACAGCTGTTTTAATGGTGGACAGTAAAATAAACGACATTAAATGAGGATTTAACATAAAATGTTGAATAAGAGTTGAACTAAGAGGGTAGACGGTCTAAAAACTAAATCTGGTTGTGTTTAAAGTTGTGTAAAACTCAGAATCCACTCAGTCATTGTGAGTGTTTTAGCCAGTTTTTTTATTTCTGAGTAACTTTTTAGTCATCCTGACTCACCGATAGGCCACAGAAGCTTTTTGGCTCTGGGTTTTTCCATTTGGCACTTTATGAAAAGAGAAGTCACCCTGTGTGGAGAAGTGGGCGGGGCTTGGACTCCTATTGGTCAGAGATATTAAACATGAGGGCATTT